GGTGTATTTGTTTCTAGCTATGTAATAATGAGATTAGTGAGTGACTTTATGTGCTTATCAGAATGCATGATATTCAATGATGAGTATAAAATCAACAAAAAAAACAACAATGACATTTAGTGGTATGCACTGAAATTCACTGCAATAATGCCAATAAAGGTTTACAGTTTTGAAAACGTTTGCGCTTTCCTAAAACAGAAGATCGCATATAGACACAATGAGAAAGCAAAATTCAATGATGGCCCTTTCGTCGTTAACCTTCCAGATTGATGATAACAGATAAATAAATAAAAAAATTAAAGAAAGAACTCACGGCTCAAGCACACGGGGCAACAAAGAAGGCACAAAATTGAGATCGAGAAAATTACAACAGCACCAAAATCATTATAGCAACCGCGCTCTGATACCAGTGTTATTGAAAATTGATGGAGAGCGTGAATGAGACCAAACCCGAGATTAGAGAAGGGGTGTTGTAAGGCTGGTAATCGCAAAGCTCAGATTTTAGATCCCTTCACTTTTAGAGAGAGAGAGGAAAACTGTACACCTTTTTCTTGCTGTGTCTTCATGTCACTGACTTCCTATTTTTATATGGAGAGAAAGACTAACGGTTATATATTTCTCCAACGAGTCTCTGAGAAAAGGTCTTCCTTGATCTCAGGGATATTTATCCAACGCATCCATATGAACGTTGGAGTTAATTATGGATAATGAGATTCCTCCAAGCCCACAGTTGCAGGCTAAATCACGTGAGGCCTCATGGTTGAGATTATCAAACCCTAAAAATTTTGAGTTACACTTGAGGGAGACCACACAAGAATAAAGGTGAGTGGCCAACTTATCAAATACTTTTCCTTTTTAAAAACCTGAATCAATCAGTTTGTTTGTCCGATTATTTAACACATACAACATTGCAACTATGCGTTAAAACCAGGGTCAGCCGTTCTCTCTTTCTGAGTGTCTAACACTCCTAAAAAGTCTTTCATTTTGGACCAGTGGTCAAAGGCCCATGTGAATTTCACTCATCCCTCAGATAGCAGTTAGACATAAAACACCCTATTAATATTCACATATTTTCGATAATATAACTCAACATAATGTTTGGCAATTCGATACCTCAATTTTTTTAGATTTTTCCATATGGTTAATTTTTCTTTTCTTTTTTTTTTTTAATCCATCCTGTATAGCTGGACCACGGACTCTTCGGGCCTAACCGACTCAGTAATCGGGCAATCCAAGTTTTAAAACACCCATGATCAGCGATAAAATCTCTCGGACGTTCTGAGAGATTGAATTGACTGAAATCAATGATGAAGATGAAGGATTTGTTTTGTTTGACTATCGTCTTCCCATTCCCTTAAAATCTTCATCCCCAGCATTCCACCTATAAATCAAGAGCACGTATTCTATGCTCCTTTGGAAACATATTATATATTTACTGTAGGCCAAAAATATGAGTAATTTTTTTTTATTTGAAATTTTTGGATCCATCCAATTGTAATTGGATGATTATTTAATTATAATTCGATGATTGTTTTCAGAGAAAAAAAATGGATCTTAAGCATCTAGCTCATTCTCTCTAACAATTAGATTGTTCTGGGATACGATATTTTTTAGATACAAAGTGGGGAAGTTAATTTTTTTATATATTTGAGGTTGGTTGCCGGGTTATGGAGATTACATATGCAAATTTTGGAGATCAAATTCCCAAAATTTGAGATCTAAAATATATTCCTAGTGTAAGTCTGGCTCAAGAGAGTAGATGGATGGTATAGTCCCATAGGAATAAGCATTGTCTCGGCTAAATTAATATGACCAAGAATGGGATGATCTACATAGTTTATATCCGTGATGTATTGGAAGCTTCAAAAGTGAGAGAAGTTTTAAATTAGTAAGATCAATAATACAATAAGGTATATTTGTACAGGTAATTTGTTGCAAGTTTTGACAGTAAGACACTATGCTACATAGATGGTGAATTATTATTTTTTATTAAAAAAGTAAAATACTCAATCCAAATCAAAACGCTGAGAAACATGCATACAAGGTTGTGAAAAGCAAAATGTTTGATATCCGGAAAAGCATGAGAGTAAGGAAAGTAGCCACCATTAAAATATGAGAGAGAGAACCCAAGTCTTCAAATATGAGAGAGAAGAATATGCAAAAAAAGTTTATGAAGGAGAGAAGTGTGGTAACACAGGTAGGACTAATAATGGGTCAGGCACATTAACCCGGCCCTTAAAAACTAGGGCTTGTACTACATATTGTGGGGGCTCGAGGGGCGGGCCCACCCGACTATCTTATCTTTTTTTTTTAATTTTTATTTTTTCCCTTTGAATAACTTATGCTTGGCCCGGTCAGGACAAGACTGTGCTCATGATAGCTACATAGCCACCTGGGCCCCCGCACATATAACCACCCGGGCGAGATCGGGTCCAGGACAGGATTGGTTGTGTAGACTCTTGAGAAATAGGTAGGTGTGAATTGATGGAAGCAAACGCAACCAGCAGCCCAAGACATAATCTTCATTTCCAAAGTTGGGCTCTTAAGTCTTGGCTAGGCTTTGATTTCTGAACTCACCATTAAAAAATCACACATTGAAGAAAAATTGCATGGTATCACGCCACCTCGTGTATTGAGAAATGGCCTAAGCCCAACAAATCAACCATACAAATGACCCATGAAGCACGTGCCCTCCTTTAATATATATGATAAAAAAATTTGAAAATTTGCAACTTGTCTTCGCCGAGGATGCCAATGGGCCAAGCCAGTCCTAGTCTGGCCTTGTTCCCATAAGGCCGACCCAGGCTTTATGAGTGCCGGGCCGGGCCTGGTCTGGATGGGCCTAAAACAAACAAAGAACTAACGAAAAAAGAAAAAAGGGCTGGGCCTCACGGTCCACTGCGTGCCCAAGCCGATATCATATATATCTTTCTACAAGGATTAGGTTAGAATTGAATTGGTTTGTGAGATATGGTCCATGAGAAATTTTTAACTACTCACTGACTTAATCAAGCATAACCATAACCCACTTGACTTAGGCAACCATCTCTAATGGCTCTATATAATGCCCGCTATCCTTCCAGCTCCATAGAGTGAGGAGGTGGTCTTATTCTATTTAATTAGCTTAATTCGATTTATAGAAAAATGAAGCTCATAATTGTTTTCGATGCCCAGCGTCAGTCGGGTTAGCATCCGATCCTACTCCCTTGCAGGATTTCTGTGTCGCAGACAACTACAGTAAAGGTAATCCTCTTACCGGATATTTTACTTAATTTTTACATTAAAGAAGAATCGAAAGCTTAATGCACAGCTAAGGCTTGAAGCCTGCACTTTTTCAATTACAACATGCTAATCACATTTTTTTCTTTGGTCTCCCATGCAGTGTTTGTGAATGGCAAGGTTTGCAAAGACCCGATGTTGGCGACAGCAAATGACTTCTTCTACGACGGACTTGACAAGCCTGGCAACACGAGCAATCCTTTGGGTTCCATGGTCACCCCAGTGAATGTAATGCAAATTCTTGGGCTCAACACTCTCGGTATCTCCTTGGCACGTATAGACTTCGCTCCTCGTGGCCAAAACCCTCCCCACACACACCCACGTGGCACCGAGATCCTCACAGTCTTAGAAGGGACCCTCTATGTCGGCTTCGTGACCAGCAATCCCGAAAATAGTTTGATTAGCAAGACATTGAACAAGGGAGATGTGCTAGTGTTTCCTGAGGGCCTCATTCACTTCCAGCAAAATGTGAGGTACAGCAATTCTGTTGCTTTCTCTGTTGATGTTCTTGCAAAGGCCTTCCAAATTGATAAACAACTGGTCGATAAACTCCAGGCTAGCTTCCGGATGGATACTAACTAAAACATCAAGGTCAAGGGGCCCTCATTAATATAAGATAGATATTGCCCATGGGGATGAATGTATTGAATGTAGGCTAGCTTTCATTTGCACCTTCTTTTAATTTTTTAATTTGCTGTGGAGTGTGGACTATAATATTATAATAACATTGGTCTATGGAATAAAGTATATCACTTTGGAGACACGTTTCTATTACACCGAATGATCTGTATTACACATGCTTTTCGAATAATAAAGATTGTGGTTGTCTATCATAGTCTTGCCTAGGTTTGGATTTAAGAGCACAGGAATGAGGTGTGATTTGGGGTTTAAGAGTACGGCAATGGCGTAGTTTGGGGATCTACGATAGGGAGTGTTCGCTTGGTTTCCCATTTGAGTTCCATGGAAATGACTTTTGTTTGGGACCTAAGGGCCGGCTAGGGTTCTTGTATCTCTATTTTGAGAGATTTATCCTATTGTGTTTTCAGGTTATCAATATTTAAGAAATTCTTTAAATAGTTAGATTTTATGTTCATACCAATTTTTTTTAAAAATCTTTCATTTTTCTCAAATTGCCTCTATTTAAGTCTTTAAAGGTCTGAAGTTTATTCTTTTTTTTCTCATAAACTTATTTTGGAATTTCAAAATTTGAATCTCAAAATCCCCTTGGTAATCCACCCAAAAGAATGATGTCACGCCTAGGTTTGATTTATTTTTTTTCAAAATTTTGGGGGAAACTCCACAAAATAATATATGAACATGTATAAAACTAAATTTTTTTTTGGGGCACATCTATCTATTATTCTAACCCTACCCCATTTTTTCTTTCCTTAGAAAACCATGTTGTCGATCTTTTTTCTTTTTATTTTTATTTTTTTCCCTGGGACATTCACGAAAGAAAGAAAGGAAAAAACACCACCCCCTCAAACCCAGCCCAAAAAAAAAAACAGCTCACAAATAAAGAAAGAAAAAAAGAAAAATACACCACACACACACACAAGAGTGACAACAAATAAACACATATATTTATATATGGGAAAGTACGAGGTCAGCCCTCTAGCTGATAGATACAAAAAATGCCTAATGGCTTAGATTGAATATGAGTCATCCAATAGTCACGTTTGTATTTTTTATTTGAATTTTAATTTTTTTCATATCCGATTCACTTAAAAATTTGAGCATCTACTGTTGAAAAATAAGAAAACCTAATAAAAATACAATTTGGACGTTTAAATTTCATAATCCGAGATCAAAATAGATTTTAGGCTATTATAAGAATCAAGATTACATCTTTCGACAAGGTTTGGATGTGTACGTTGTCAACTTTTACGTATTTAAGGTTGACGCCTTATACATAACATACTATTATATCGTTATCTATCTAATTCTTTTTTTTTTAAATTTGGAGCCATTCTAACCAGGTCGGTTGAGTAATGGTCAACCTTGGACTCCTAGGACCTCACCATGCTCGCAAATCAGATTAGATAATTTATTTTGTACATTCCTTAGTATTTATTACATGGAGACTGGGTTCATGCGGCAGGTAAAATGAGGGACGACTTGTTACATTGACATTGTCATTAATTTGAAGACATTTTATATTTCTAAAGAGGATGAGGTTAGACAAATCCTTCTTTACAGTAGAATTATGTTAGCTTGGTCAAATTAGTAGAAGCTAATTTAACAAGTATTACTCCATCAATTTTCAAAATACTGGTTCATGACTGATTCAGATCACCCTCCCCACACACACCCACGTGACACCGAGATCCTCACGGTCTTAGAAAGGACCCTGTATGTCGGCTTCGAGACCAGGACTCCCAAAAACCGTTTGATTAGCAAGATACTGAACAAAGGAGAAGTGTTTGAGTTTCTTGAGGGCCTCATTCACTTCCAGCAAAATGGGAGGTGTGGTAATTCCGTGGCCATTGCGGGTTTGAGCAGCCCAATTCCAGGGGTGCTAACCATAGCCAACATTGTGTTTGGACCCAACCCAACTTTCTCTGATGCGGTTCTTGCAAAGGCCTTCCAAATTGACAAATAATTGGTTGATAAACTCCAGGCCAGCTTCTGGATGGATAATAACTAGTATCAAGGTCAAGGGGCCTGCCCTTATTACCATGCGATAGAGATTGCCCCATGTAGCTTTCATTTGTAATTTTGGAATATATGTTTTTTTTTATTTCCTGTGGGGTGTATACTACAGTATAATAATATTTGGCTATGGAATAAAGTATATCACTTTGGAGACACGTTTTTATCTTTCTATTACACCAATTAATCCATGCCTATCATGGTCTTGGCAAGGTTTGGATTAAAGAGGCCAGGGATGACGTTTGATTTAGGGTCTAATAGTGTCGCGGTTTGGGAAATCTTTGGGAGGGAGTTATCGCCTGGGTTTCCCTAATTCCTCAGGAATGACTTTTTCTTGGGAATTGGGACCTTTTGGGTCCTTGTATACGTATTTGAGAATTTTATGTTAATTTCTTTTGAAATAATTTATATTTAAGAAATTCCTTAAAAAGTTAGATTTTACATTTATACCGATTTTCTCAAATCATTTTACTATTTCTCTTAATTTATATCTTAAAGGTCTAAAGTTGATTTCATCATTCTTTTTCTCTATTTTCCGGGTAAACTTACTTTGGAGTTTCAAAGTTTAAAGTTGTTTTAAAGATCAAAAAGTCCAAAGTTGGTTTTTGTTCACGTAAATATCTCTTAAATCAACATTGGACCTTCAAAGTTTGATATTGAGTTATGTGAGCAAAAATCAACTTTAGACGACGGTCCAAATTTTATCTTTGGAACAACTTTAAAACTTTAATTTCCAAAATAAATTTATGAGCAAAAAAAATTTGAACTTCAAACCTTCAAGGTATGAGGTATGAGGGTTCGAAGTAGGGGTAATATGATAAAAATAAATAAAGAAATTGAAACAAATGGGTATGAAAGTAAAATCAAACTTTTTGAAGAAATTTCTTAAATAATAAAAATTCAGATGGCATTAACTTAAATTTCTCCATTTATTTCTAGAGAATTTCTTTTTTGAAAACCTGTTGTTTTTTCTATGAGCCCTGAAAGATCCCCAATCTCTATATCTCCAAGAAAACCTATTCGTTTTGCCCTCAGTCATTGCTGACCGTCAATCTTTGCAAGTCCCAAAGGACTTATTTGATGATAGTATGATTCTTTCTCCATTCGACTTGTCCACTTTATGTTTTGAAGTCGGTTTGTTTTCATTAACATGAAAATCTTCCGCCACTTTTCTTTGTAATCAGCAATGTTCATTGCCTAGGTATCGAACTCAACCCATTCCCAAGCCAAATTACTCCGCCAAGTCCTAATAGATTCGGCAGTGTTACTTGAAGAAAAGGAGAAAAAAGAAAAGCAAAGAGTCTCATTTTGATATTGGGAAAGAAAGAGGAGTTAAGGAGAGAGAAGATGAAAAATGTGGGTTGATTCCACCTTTTGGAGATAGAAGGAAATAAAAGTACGAGAGAAGCAAAAGTATGGTGCTCGAACCCCAAAACTTGTGTCTTCCCTTCCCTAAAAGAGCAGCCCCGTCTTTCTTTCATCTTTTGTTTTCTTTCTTACCTTCTTTCTCATATCAAAATCTGGTTGCTACAATTTTTTTTTTATTATTAATTTTATTTTAAATATGTGGGTAGGTTTTTTTATTATGATTAATATTTTAGAAATTGAATTAATGTTAGTTTTTTTTTTAGTTGATAAAAGTCTTTTTTTTCAAGTAGTTTTTGTAGCCGAAGGATAAATCCTTTTATTTGGGTAGGAGTGTTTTTTTATATCATTTATTCGTTTTTTAGGTAGAGATGAGTTTTATTTTAAATAGTCATCGTTATTTATTTTTCAGAGTCCATTTAAGCAAATTTTTGAAACAAATATTTTGGGTGACGTTCCAGGGATTTTGCTTCCTAAGATTTACGTTGGTAGGTTGCTTATGAAGGAAGTTACGATAGAGGTGGCTTTTGAATCACCTGAATTGTTAAGGGAAAGAAGTTATTTTAATTAGCAAGTTAGTATTTAGTGGATGGGGAAAAAAAAAGAATAGCTATCTTTTTAAGGGAAATAGGAATTATCATTTTTGTAGGAATAGTAAAACTTTTGAGGAGGTTTGGAAAAGAACCCTTTAATGAAAAGGGATGCACGCTATTGTAAAGAGGAGTTCAATTTTGTTAATGAAAAAGTTGATCTTTGAGATCGTAGAGAGAGCCCTTTTATGGGTGTTGTTTTTCTCTTGTGTTTATGGGCCCGTGCCAGAATACTTGTGTCCATGCGTTTTGTTATTTCTTCTTCTGATTTTCTTATTAATTTTTATCTCTCTCTTAAACACAGTTATTTTTTCCCATGCTGTTTGGCGGTAAATTTTATATGATGTCACTTCCTCTCTTTTCTTTTTAAAAAGAGAAAGGGGCACTTAGGCTTATGAATTAGGCAAGGGACCTACAAGATAAGATATGTTCCCTAGAAAGAGGCGCTTGGATATTCCCCTTTTAAGAGAGAAATAAAGAGTGCATGGGATTTGCTCCTCTTCAAAGAGAGAGAGAGAGAGAGAGAGTGATGCACTAGGCTCCATTGAGAGTGTTGCATATACATGTGTAAGAGATAGCCCTCATGCATAATTTCCGATGGGTGTGCACATGTCTGTTGTGTAACCTAGGCTTGCCCCTATGTGGAACTTGAAGTCTATATACTAGGATTGTATACTCATCACCTATTGCTGGTTTTGGAAGTCCAATCATGAACCCCTGTGATAGATTGTGGGTCATGAGAACTACTAGTTCAGTTTGAGAAAGTAAATGTGGAACATAATCACAAGTAGAGATGTTGTGCTTCAATGTTTTCAAATTTTCCTTAACAAACTTGGATTAGATTCCCATCAAATTAAATTTGAAATTATTAATTTTTTTTTGAATGAATTTTGAAAAGGGAATATTAGAGATTAAATTAATATAAAAAGGAAACACATCAAATTTTTCTCTACACAAAATAGATGATAGGATTGGGTTAAGGAAACCGAGGATAAGGTTTTACCAGGATCATCTCACACCACCTAAGAATTGAGCTCTCTCTCTCTCTCTCATAGATCCACACCACCCTCTCTCTCTCTACTC